GATAAATGAGATCACAAGAGTAGGGTGTTCATCAGATAAGATTACTGTCCTGAGAAGAAGAGACCCCAGAGAGCTTGATTATTGTCCCAAGAGAGACAGAGGAAAGCCCGTGTGAGATGCAGGAAGAAGCTGGAGTCTGCAAGCCAGGCTGCGAATCTGCTGGCCCCCTGATCTTGGACTTCCTAGCCTCCAGATAGTGTTCAAACCCCCAGGCTGTGGTACTTCAGTAGACCAGCCCACCTAATAACTAAGACGAAATACGTAAACTTTCATGAGTATTACATGAAAAGATACGCAAATGAGCACAAGTATGTTTTCCTCTGAGAAACCAACAGGTATGTGTCCCATAGTTATTGCAGCATCTCATTTTTTATCAATCAACTACCTCTTTGCTCTACTTGTTGTACTTAGTTCTTAGGTTTTTCTTGAGCACCAGTAACCCCATCCGGTCTGACAGATACAATAATAGCACGTATTGAAATTGCTGGTAAGAAGGGAACCTAAAATTAGGATACGGATGGTGATTTTTTAAAAATCTAAATAACAGGTCATAGGTACACATGGAATACAGGTAAATTCTATTGTGGGCATAATTGTGGCAGGAAAATATGTCCTGTGTCATGTGCAATGTGCTGGGACAATTAGAGAAGAAAAAAAAATAACCACGTAGAGGTAGAGAAACCTAAGGTTTTAAGATCAGTATCAGTGGAGGATGAATATTACAGTATTTCTTCAGAGCTGAAAGGCACTTTCTTTTTCACCTTTTGACATATCTGAAGTTGGGATATTTTACAACTGATTGGTGCTGTCAGCCAAGTGGCAGGCATGACATGGATGTCCTCTCCTAGGCCTGTGCAGACATCAAAAGAGCAGCACCAGACTGGCAGAGTGGGCGTCCAGCAGCTTAGAAGAAAACCCTGCAGACAAAAAGGAAGCACTCTTAAGCCTCTTTGGATTCTCGTGGTTGTGCAGAGGGGCTTGGAGGTGTGAATCTGACTTGTTGAGGCGCGTTCCTGAAGTGAGACTTACAAGTAAGCAAGCTCTAGATAATTGCAGAGCTGACTTAAGAACTTTGCACCCCTGGTTCTGAGGCTTGTAGTTCTTCGGTGGATTACGGAAGGTTGCATCACCAGTGCTCCAATGAAACACAGGCTACTGCTGTGTGGAAAAATCACGAACATTAGGGACTCGGAGTTGAAAACGGATGAGCAGTTGGATTCTAAAGGTAAAAAACGTTTTGGAAAACCTTAGCCAATATACTTCTTCACCTGTATTTTCTTAAATATCCCTCAGACTGATATATTTTTTAAAAATTCATCTAAGTCTGAAGGAGCTCATTCAAAAAGAACAAAATAAAAATTTGAAGTAGCAAGAAAGTACTAGACATAGTTTAATTGGCACCTTTTCCCCCTTTCTTAAGGGTAATAAAATAATGGCCCCTCTAATAAAGGGCATCTTAGAATTGTTAAAACACGTTAGCCTGTTGTCAGAATCGGGGGAAAGCAAGTGGTTTGAAACCCTGAAGGCCTCTGCACATGAAGCGGCTGCAGATGTCACCGAACCGTTGGACTTAAGGCCTGCTCATCCTCGCAGGGAGAGGGCAGGTGGCCCCTGCAGAGAGCCAGCCGCTCAGGAGTCCCCAGCTGCTTTGCAGACGTCTGCCTCAGCAGATCGTCCAGCAATGCATACCACCCAGTGTGGACCCCCAAGAAGGGTAAGGCGGTACCCAGTAACAGCACTGTCCAAGGGCCGCTCATCCTCTTGGCAAGGGGACAGAGTCCCTGGAAGGCTGCACATTTACTTACCCCTCTTGGTCACTTGCGTCTGTCAAGAAACATACTTAGAAATGGCCTTTGTTTTTTGTTTTTTTAAAGATGTTATTTATTCATGAGAGACAGAGAGAGAGGCAGAGACACAGGCAGAAGGAGAAGCAGGCCCCATGCAGGGAGCCCGATGTGGGACTCGACCCTGGGACCCCAGGATCATGCCCTGGGCTGAAGGCAGACGCTCAACTACTGAGCCACCCGGGCTGCCCTAGAAATGGCCTTTGGATCCTAACCTGTTCGTTAATATATATGTGTGCGTTCACCTGTATCTGTATACACACGTTCCCTTGTATGTATGTGTGTGTCTCCTGTGTGGATCCGTGCACATGTGACACAACTTATGTGAGCTCATACCCGCGTACACACACATGCTCACTGACATATATTGTTCGATGACCTGCTTTTTACAAATACATCCACTCTTTCCATGTCATTACGTCTTTTCTGTAGTGTCAGTATAAATGATACCTAGGATTCCTTCACCTGGATTTTCACTCATTTATTTAAACTCTCCTACTATTAAAGGATTTCTTCTAGCTACTTCAGGAACATCCTTATGACCAAGCTGTGTGCAGAACTGTAATTTTTGGTTCACTGGGTCCTCATAGGTACCTATTGGCAATCCAGACTTACCATGGTCCAGGAGCAACAGTTTCGTAGGCCTTTTGCCCATTTCTTGTTTTTTGTAAATGTATGAGCAGGTTAAAGGGTTGGAATGGGTATTATGGACATGATATTAAGCTCAGGCTCTGAATCCACCCAGGCCTGGCTGATAACCTTGGGCTGGGTGTTTTAAGTTCTCTGGATCTGGGACACGTGGGTTGCTCAGCGGTTGGGCGTCTACCTTCGGCTCAGGGCATGATCCCAGGTTCCTGGGATCGAGTCCTGCATCAGGCTCCTTGCAGGAAGCCTGCTTCTCCCTCTGCCCATGTCTCTTCCTCTCTCTCTCTTTCTCTCTCATGAATAAATAAGTAAAAATCTTTAAAAAAAATAGAAACTTTAAGTTCTCTGGATCATTTCCTCATATGTAAATTGAGTCTATGACATGTGCTTTGTAGGATTGTTGAGGTCATAACAAGTATATCAAGTGCCTGGTATATGGTAACCCCTAAGTCAGTGTTTGACCAGCTTGGGGAGTTAGGTGTAGACATAAATGTCATGCTGATGGAGTCCCACGGTCCTAAGGGATGATAAAGGGTACATTGTAGATGCTGCTGCTCATTGACTATTTATGCCTCTGCTCCTTTGATCAGTACAGCTGGTGTCCTGGGTGTGTGACTCCTGTAGTCACACGGGGCCCTACACATGGTTCAGTGCTTTGCTGTTGCTGTCTAGAAAGTCTTAATTTTGAACAGTCTCCATATTTCCATTTTGCACTGGGCCCCACAGATTTTGTAGCCAGTTCCCCATTGTAAGGTTGTCAGGGGCGTGAAATGAGAGCTCACAAAGGACATATCATACTTAGGAGGTAATAGGGTTCAGTGATCATTAGATGGGTATAATAATTTTTTATGAGCACGGACAACTATGATAAGTGTGTTCATTTAATTATTGAAAGTGTGAGATAAATAGACAATTAATCTCAGATAGATTAAGAAACTGAGGCTCCAGAAGCTTCATCACCAACTAAAATCATACAGCTTATCAATGCAGAACATGGATTCAAACCCAAGTCCACATCACCAAAGCCCATACCACTGACCTGCCCTAGTATTAGTTTCCTTCCTTCCTTCCCTCCTTCACCCCCCTCCCTCCTTCCCCCTCCTTCCCTCCTTCTTCCTTCCTCCTTCCTTCCTTCCTTCCTTCCTTCCTTCCTTCCTTCCTTCCTTCCTTCCTTCTCTGTAAAACTCAGTGTTTAAGTGTCCTTGATATTCGTCAGCATCCCAACCCTCATCCCTCACAGAGGTTTCAGAGCCCCTCAAAGATGTTCTAGAATTCCTGTCAGACCTGGAAACTTTGGGGGCTACAGCAGACAGTAAAGACGCTTCCTCTTCTCAGTATTGTCCTGCCATGTCTCCAGACCTGCTCAGAATTCCATTATCTGGCCCAGTCTAGCCACCCTGGTGACAAATCAGCTTGCTTCCTTTGATTCCTAACACACTTACTTGGGATGACCAGTGTCCAACTAAGCCTCCAAACCACCATGAGAATCGCAGATCTGCCAGGGTCAGGTCCGGGAAAGAGGCTGGGGGAGATGCCTCTTTCCAGTAGATGGAGGACATGGCCATCTGTCCTGTGGCAGGGATCCCTTGCTTTCCTACGGGCCGGGTCATGATTTGCTCTGACCACTCTTCCTTTCCAAAAAAAAAAAAAGAGGAGAGAGGGAGAGGGGAAGAGAAAGGATCCATTCCACCACGCGGCTAATAAGCAGGCGCACAGCTTGGTGGGGAAGCTTCAATGCAAGTTTGCTTATGGTGTGTGGCCCTGGAGCAGGGAAGTTCAGGCTTGAGCATTTCATCTCTTGGATAGCTGGATTCGAATTTCGAATGTGACAATGAGACTGTTTGTTGTTTCAAAGCAATTCCCTAAGTGGCTGTTTGCTCAAGACTTTTGTAGTGTGAACAGAGATTTGGGGGAGGGGAAGAAGCCATCTGCTCTGGAATCGTCTTCCAATTACATGATCAAATTACTGCAGAGCAAAATGGAGGGAGTCCAACAGAAAATTCCCGTCTGGTGTATCAGCCCCAACCTGCTCTCCTGGGCCATTGTGTCCATGTAGAGATTCCTAGGCGGGTTCCAAAGGCAAGGCCATGGTCGCCGAGAGTGGGAGTGGGAGGACAGCAGACAGAGCCACGGAGGAGAGTCAGGGTGAGCTTTCTTGCTGCAACAACGTGCCATTCAGGAAAATTAAATGATCTTGGGTTTGAATTAAAAAGTGAATTTTTGGAGAAACTCAGTTTCTTGTCCTTTTGGTGTCAGTGATCCCTATCTCTGATTGCAATTAATTTATCCTATGAAAATGAAATCGGTACATCCCTTTATAAGTGCAGTTGGTGATTATTCGCTAATACTCCACTTGTAGACCGGCCCATCTATTTATTTCCCTTGAAGTAGGAGAACAGTTTTCTTGTTTTTGAAATATGGACTCTCTTGATTTGCAAAACATTATTCGAGTCTTATTTTTCCTTCTAAAGATGTGTGTGTGGTTTTTCCCCCCCTTTCTTTTGCTATTAGGCATTCATGCAGCCTCACTTGCTGGGAAATGAGTTCACACATTTGGAGTTTCCAAGGAGAGTACAGAGAAAGGAACTTGGAAAGAAGATGCTCTACAGGGACTTTAATATGACAGGCTGGTAAGAACGTGCCTCCCTCTGCCTCGGCACTGCCACAGCGTGTCTGAGGGGAGCGTCACCACCCCCAAAAAGCCATTTACGCAGTTTGGATCAAATAGTGCAGCCGGAGACCTTGGGTTGGTGGTGGAGGAACAGGGGCTCTGGCCATTTCTGCTGTGTTTGCCGGGGCGCCAAGTCTCAAATCACGGTGTGGGTTTGCTTCTGTGCTTCTCTGAGGTCCTCTTTGGGGACACTGGACCCCGCGAAGTTGTCATAATTCCTCACTTCGTATGAGCAAGCATTTTTGAGGCTTTTAAAACACATTTTAGTTTTTAGGTCAGGGACTCGAAGGAATGGGCTAACAGTTTATTGAGCCAGACTGGAATGGATTTGAATCCTAACTCCAATCTTTCTAAATAGGCAGAGTTGGGTAAACTATATAACCTCTAGGAGCCTAATTTTCCATGAATAAAGTGGAAAAAAAATATCCTCCTTGAGGTCATTGTCAGGGCTAGAGGTAATGAACCATCTTCAGTATTTTTCCACGTTCACATGGAGCTAAGCATCTTGGCCAGGGATGGTCTTACTCCTGCAACACACCTATGTAAGCACCAAGATCGTTTCTGTAGTGCATCAGTGGCTGACACTGACTAAGACCTCATCTGTTTCTCCTATATGAAAAGTAGGTACGATATAAAGTACATATCCGTCATAGGATTGACGTAAGGACAAGATGAGAAGTGTCTGGCGCGGAGAAGCGTCAGTAAAGATTTGCTGTTAGCCCTGAGGTACTGACCATTGAGCCTCCTGCCAGCCTGGAGGAAAGAAGGACGAGCCAGTAGACTATTTCCTTGACATACATATCTCCAACATGGGCAAAGGAGGAGTGGATTCCAGTATCCCTTCTTCATTGATCAAAATAGTTGTAACAGATGGTCTCAGCCCAAATTCTCATGGTAGTGACTTCTAGGCTGGGAATCTACTCCTAAATTCTTAAGGGAGCTTAAGGGAACAGTTGAGTTACCCAGGGAAGATGAGGGGCTGGTCTAGGGCACTTCCAGTTGTCCTTTACCATCCGAAAGAGAAGATTTTCCCCCACTCTCCATGCTTCTTCTAGTGCAGGGTCGGCAAACCATAGCCCCAAAGCCAAAGTCCACCCACAGCTCCTTTCTGTAAGTAATTTTTTTGGTACAGCTGCATTCATTTATATACTTTTGATCTTGGCTACCGTCACTGTACACCAAGGTGGTTGGGTTAGTTGGAACTGAGACTATATGACCCACAAAGCCTTTAAAATATTCACCCCCGTTTTAAAACAGGACTGGATTTGGCAGGAGGGGTTCACCCCCTTTGCGGCTCTGAGGTTCTGGAGTTTTGGTGCCCTAGAATCATTACCCTTACCCGACTGTGTTTTCTTTGTAAGTTCATTTTTATTGAATCGGCAGTATCAGCACTCTTTACGGAGAAGGTTAAGGTGAGGGCTACTAGGGTATGGAAAAGCGTGGTGGGGTTTAGTCTAGGTTTTGCAGAGTTTAGGATGTTGGAAGGAAAGGCGTCCCATGTCATGAATCCCAGGGCTTGCAAACACATAAACAAAAAGAGTGGACTTGAGAGATAATGAGGAAAGGGGCCAAAAAGAAAGAGAGCGTCTATGGGAAATCAGACTGAGTTGGTATCAAGGGAACATAATTGAGGATAAGGGAAGCCAGGCAGAGAAGTACATTTACTGTGGGAGGCTCTGAGTTGTGCTGGAGTGTTTCTGAGGAGAATGAATGATGAAAGCAATTCTGGCGAGGCAGTCCTAAGGAGTTTGAAGGAGAACGAAGAGAGAAAGCAGATTCAGGTACCCAGGAGAAAACCAGCAGAGAAATACATACGTGAAGGGCCTGGGGTGGCTCAGTCGGTTAAGTGTCCGACTCTTGATCTCGGCTCAGGTCATGATCTCAGGGTCCTGGAATCCAGCTCCCCGCTCAGCCAGGAGTCTGCTTCTTTCCCTCCGCCCCTCCCCGCTCTCTCTTGCTCTCATGGGATCATGACCTGAAGGCGTGATGAAGGCAGACGCTTAACTGACTGAGCAACCCAGGTGCCCCTAAATAAATCAATATCGAAAAGAAAAGAAAGAAATACGTATGTGATGTCTCAGGGGCCAGATAGAGAGATGGAAGCAGAAAACGGAGGAGGGAAATGAACAAGAAACTAGATGATTTAGCCCAGGACTGAATGTGGGGGGGGGGGGGGTAAGTCCTTAATTAATCCTATTCAAATAGGTCCCTTCGGCTGGTCTGTAATCCCCGGGGAGGCGGGGGACAGTGCCTGGGCCGGGATTACTCCCTGGCAGAAAGGAGGGAAAAGGTGGGAGTGACTGCAGGTGAGGGGGGCGCGGGCAGGGTGGGAACAAGGAGCTTGCTGGCTTCTGAAACGGGTAAGCGTGAGGCACGGCTGTTGTGTGTTCTCTCTGTGCCAGAAGGCAAATTACATCTATGCAGTCAGAACACACTGGGTAAACAAATGGCTAAAGATTACCCCCATTTTATGATTTTTAAAATGTAGATAAGTTCGAGGACTAGATTACATCCAACTCTGTGCGTACACAGTCTCTTGCTCGCTCACACACACACACAGTGTTAGCATGATCCTAAGAAAATAAGCCTTTCCATAAATAAGCTGTGTGTAATGCATGGAACTCCACAGAAGGCCCCAAATAATTTAGGAGCCAGGACTGAGAACGGCTTCAGTCAGACGCGGTTTGCTGATTTGTCTCCGCACGGTTCCCTGCGTGGCTGTCGGCTCCAGCTGCGACGCGGCGCAGACGTCTTTGTGTCTCTCCGTGTATTTTCTATCTGTTCTTTTGTCTTGAAATTGACACTTAGGCAATAGGAGGGATCTCCAGATCTTCCTGGAATACGTGGGGACGTGTAGAACCAAGCTAGACCTCTGCTTATGGAAACTCCCTCCCTCAACTCTAATGGATTCCTTTTTTTTAACCTCTCATGAGGAACCTCAGATCTAGCAGTTATCTTTAAGGACTTCAGACAAACACACCGTGCGATCACGCTTTGCTGCCTTTCTGAATTGTCTCTAGAAAGAGAAGAGCTGGCAAATCAATTCTGTAGAAAGGGAGATGAATGAAGTTCTCATGAAGGGAGAGAAGGTGGTTCGTCTCCCACAAACGCCTTACATGACCACCAGGTTGTTGGGATTGGTTGAAGGTGGTCTGGTGAGTATTTGGATGTGGCACGCTTGAGGACATGGGTCCTTGCCGTGTCCCTTTATGTCTCTGGGCTTTAGTGTGAGCCTTGGCTCGTGTCCTTGTTTTTTGGAAGCCCTCCTACAAATCAAGGGTTCACCTAATTCGAAGCCCTATAATCCGTGTAGTAAATACCTAGTTGTGATGGAAAGGCTCTTCTCCCCCACGCAGCCCCCGCTCCTCAGGGCAGCAGTGGGCCCACCTGACACTTAGGCTGATGAGAGCCATCGGGGATTCCTCAGAGTGACCGGTCCTAGGAGCCAGGTGTGTGTCACAGACGAGAAGACCGGGGCAGCGAGGCCCCGTTTCAGGGCCCCATAAGGTGGGAGAAGCTGGGATGTGAACCCACTGTTGGCCGGTGACTGTGCCGGGCCTCCCAATGCCAGAGGGCTCCTCTTCTCTGCGCCCGTTTTGCAGCGGGGCACGCTGAGCTCCAGGGTGTTGGCCCAGCTCTGTGGGCACGGGGGCCAGCCCGAGGCCTAGGACCCAGGGCTCCGAGCCCCGAGAGCTCTTCCTGCACATACGGCAGCCCTGTTTCCTTCCAGGGTAAGGCGAGACGGAATCACCCAGCTTTGAGCTGGGACATAAAGTGAAGCAGGCCCCCCTCCCCCGGGTCTGTGTCTGCTGACAGTCCTTTAAGCGAGGGGGGGGATGAGCGAAGCCTCAGGAGCTGCTGAGGCCCTGACCTCTGGTTCCTGCCAGAGGCTCCAGCTGCCCCTATGAGCCTGCGCAGCCTTCGGGGTGCCCAGGTGGCTGGGAGCCCCGGGAGCCAGGGCCGCCTGCTGTCGCCGGAGGAGTGTCTGCAGCGGGGGTAGCGCCAGCCGGGGCCCGGTGTCCTCACCAGCCAGGAGCCCGCCGCCTCCTAATGGGCCCGAGGGGTCTAGGGTTGTGGCCGCCAGGCCCCTCACGAGGCCACCGGCATCTCCCCTTCACCGCCTCGCGGCCTTGTCAGGGCCCCAGCGCCGGGGGAGGCCCCTGAGCTGCTGTCGCTGTCGCTGGAGTCCCTGCCCGGGTGCCAGCCCTGTGTCGGCTGCCGGAGCGCCAGGCCCGTGTCCCGACCCACAGCCCCCGAGCCACCTCGGGCCTCAGTTAGCCGCGAGCACCTCTGTTGCCGGGTGGAAACCACAGACCCTCACAGCTGTCTTGGTGGCACCAGGTCCTGCTGCCGGGTCTGCTGGTGACTTCGCCTTCTCACGTGGGATCAGCGTTGGTCGTGCGCTAGGTCCAGGCGCATGGGGGGGGAGGGGAGCAGGAGAACATTTGTGGAGGGGGAGAGGGGGCTGCAGCCACAGCCCTGGCGTCCAGCCACATCCTCCAGCAGCTGTTCCTGGCCTGATGGGATTTGTACAGAGAGCTGGGGCCAGAGAGGAAGAGAAGTCCATCGTGTGAATGCGAGATTGCTTCCAGATGGTTCTGGTTATGAGTAAAGTACACCAGAATTCTTTCCTTAAGCAAAGCCTCTCTAACGTTTATGATGGTCTCATTTCAGAGAACAGCCTGGACCTGTAACCCGAGACGGCCTGGCTTAGTTAGTACAGAGTTTACAGCTTTGAGAGCGAGGCTCCTGGGGTGCTGGCCCTTGCTCTGCCAAGACCCTGGAGCCTTGGGCAAACCCTGGGCGCCTCGTTCTCTCATTTGCAAAATGCTTCCTTTGCCCCTCGCTGCGCCAGCCTCTGTGTCTGGTGGCGGATGGGTTTTGCTCTGCTCTTCAGAGTTTCTGGAAGAGACCAATTCCATTAGAAAGCTTCCAGTGATGGTAACCTTTCGTTTTGAT